AGGGACTTTGTAGAAAACGAAGCGTTTGAGAGAGGCGGGGCATAGAGGACCTACAATAATGTACAGTATTTTAAAAAGAATGTGTTTTTTTGAAAATTAAAGCATGTCAACATATTCTGTTACACCAAATAATGATCTTTAAAAAAGCATCATATGACCCCTTTAAACACACACACACAATATATATATATATATATATATATATATATATAACGGTTTATAATATTTTAATGTAGAAAAGAGAGTTAGATGATGCTTAATTTAAAACTTTGGGCCGTTGCTGTTGTCCCGGGGCAGTAGGCCTATTCGTTTTTGACATCTGCATGAGACTAAATGAAAGACAATTGATTTATTCCATTTTATTTACAACATGTATTTAAAAAGCCATGTAACATGTATGCTTCACTGTGTTAATCTGCATGATAAACATCTCTGGATATACACAAACAAAAATGTTTTACATTTAAATTAATTAATTTAAAGGAAAGGGAATGCACATTTAAATAACTGTCTCAAATTTGCTATTAAGATAATGCTGCTGGACAGGAAGTGGTGACGTTTCATGTGACAAAAGCAGGTCTATACAAATATATATACACATATAAACCCCTGCTCTTTGAGAAACACATGATATCATCCTACGTCAGCAATGATACCACATTTTGTAATTTTGTAAGTTTCCAGGGCACTGCTGTCAGACATGTGTTGAAGCACATTTCAAAATATTTCAGCTTCATTATTTAATCACAGCGAGCACAAGAGGGAGACAAACTCTCACATTAGAATTTAGTGTCAGGAAAACATTTTCCTTTATTATAGGAATACAGGGATATGGGAGTCTGAAGTAGTGGACACAGTGATCATAACTGTATTTTAATCAGGGTTAGCCATAAAATAGAAAATTGAGTGCGAGTTTGAATTTAATTGGCAACAAACTACAGGATATTGAATTGGAATTTGAAATGGAATGACATTGAGTTTAATAATAAAATGTCAACATAGGCTTCTCACTACATTTTGAGACACTGCCAATAATTAGTTATGAACATAACTGTAATTTTAATCAGGGTTGGGCAAAATTCATAACTTTAAAATTGGGACGCTTTCAGTTTATGAGTGTGAATTTGAATGTGACAAACTACACGATATTGAATCGGAATGGCAATACTTTTCATTTATAATTGAATCATTTTAATATAATTTATATAATTTAAATATGTGCTAAAATATTTAAAATACATTTCATATTTTAATACAATATATGTAAATATATATTAAAATATTTACCTTTTTAACTGCTATACAAGGCTTTGTCAAGCAATACAATTTGTCATGACTTTCCTTTTCCAATTAAAAACTAGGCTGATTGCAGTCATATATCTTCTATTAAAATGATTTCATTTCTAATTAAATTCAAATTCCTATAGCTAAACGCCTTAATTGCACCGTTTGCTACCTCAATTCAAATTCAATTCAAATCATGCAATCCAACTGGAATTCACTTCTGAATTCACTTCTCTGTCATTTGTTTCTTCAAAGTGCTTTACATTCAAGCAGGTCTACATTCTAACATCTTCTTGAAGGCTTTTCTGAAGCTGTCATCCAGGAATGCGTAGAGGAACGGGTTCAGACAGGAGTTGGCGTAGCTCAGGCTGGCAATGAAGTACGAGATGCCGATGAGAAGCGGTGTGGTCCGCAGGTCTGTGGTCAGCGCTACGATGGTGCTGAGGTGAAAGGGCGTCCAGCAGAACAGGCACACGGCCAGTACGATAAACACCATGATAGTCACTTTCTTCTTGGCTTTGTCCAGCGCTTTGGCGTTGGTGTTCAAGCGCATGTTTCTTAATTTGTACAGCATCATGGTGTAAAGAATGCAAATCGTAGACACCGGAATGGCAAAGCCTAGTATGAGGGTGTAAATCCGGCTCGCTTTGAACCATAAACTTTCAGGACTGGGGAAACTTAGGACACAGCTTTTTCTCTCGGTGTCGTCGGGACTGATGTAGACTCCCGCGAACACGGTGAACGGCATGACAATGAAGATCACCAGCAGCCACACGCACAGGCTCACTATCTTGGCTGCCCGGTATGTGCGGTACGGCATGCGCTTGGAGCGCACGGTCGACAGCACCACCAGGTACCGGTCCACACTCATAACCGTCAGAAAGTAGATGCTCGAGAAGATGTTGTAGTGGTCGATGCTTAAAATGATTTTGCACAGCACCTCGCCGAACGGCCAGTAGTGTAACAGATGTTCCGCTATGTTGATGGGCAGCACTAAAGTGAAGAGGTCGTCGGCGATCGCCAAGTTCAGAATGAACATATTGGTCACCGTCTTCATTTTGGGTGCTTTGAGGATCACATATATGACCGCCGTGTTGCCCGTCAGACCTACGGCACATATCACGGAGTAAATGACCGGGAGAACCACGTACAGATCTGCGGAAAATAAGTAGTCAGCCGGCGGCGTGCAGTTCAGTTCGCTCCGGTTTGGAGAGCTGTGATAGTATAAGTCCAAGCTGTAGTTGCATGTCGGGTTTGGGGTGAAGGGGCCCGTGATGTTCTCCATAGTTTGACAGCTGAGCCTCCGGGGATAAGTGCTTTACTTTATAAAGCTGCGCTCTCGCTTTCGCAGATCTCTCCACGAGTCTTAGGTGGTCGATGTGTTTCATCTGTCTCTTTGCACATCATGAGATCTGAGGGTAATACAAAACATTGGCAATCCTGCATAAAACAGACTAGTCAAACAAATGCGCGCTGAGAAACTTGGAACATATGCGCATTGTTTACACAACTTAGAATATAACAGTTTAATTTATTCTATCAGCAAAAAAATATATTGATAAAATACTGCACGCCTAAAACGGTAGCCTGTTCATTTACAAACTGCAACTATTACTTTTAAAAGTAAAGAAGCAACAGCTAGCGGTGAAAGGTGCGAGCTCTTACCGTGTAAGATATTCTTTCTCCGTGTGCTGTGTCCTCTTTGCACCAGGCAGCGCAGCTCGCGCTTTCCCAACAAGTAGGAAAGAAGTGCGACTGGTGACGTCACATTCTACCGCGAGCTCTCCTCTTTCTGCCTCCTCGGATCTCTGAATGAGTCACGCATTATTTTTGATCGTTTATGTGTGGGGAGTTGACATGTCCTTTAGTGAACTATTTCAAACAGCTAATTTAGGCTATACATATATAACAAAACAAGCACCTATCAAGATTTCATTGATGGAACAGTTCACCCCCAAATGAACATTTTGCTAAACATTTACTCACTCTCTGGCCATTCAGGATGTAGATGAATTTGTTTGTTCAGTCATCTGAACAGATTTGGAGAAATGTATGGCATTACATCTCTAAGTCACCAGTGGATCCTCTGCAGTGAATGGGTGCCATCAGAATGACCAAACAGAGTCCAAACAGCTGATAAACACATCACAATAATCCACAAGTAATCCAAACGACTGCAGTCCATCAATTAACTTGTCATCAAATTCGTGTGAAGTGAAAAATATTATAGAAAAAATGTTGAACCTAAAATTATGAAACACTTATGGACTTGTAATAAGTTGTTTTATCCCTAGATGAAGCAATGGTCAATGATTTTTAAAACGTGAAATAATCAGTGTTCTATGCATAAAACAGAAGCTTGCTTTTCACAAGGTAAATGAAGAAGGTCAGCATGTTTTTTTTTCTTTTTGACTATATGAATATATATATTAGAAATATATGAATATATATTTTTTCTGAAAATCAGTTTGGCAGTTCTCTTCTCTTCTCTTCTCTTCTCTTCTCTTCTCTTCTCTTCTCTCATTATGTTACTATTGGGTAGAATACTTATCCCAGCAGGTGTCAGTACTCTAATCATGTGCAAAAATAGTTAAACTTGGTCCTTATTAAAATAAAATAATAAGTCATTTTCTCACCCAGTGCAGCAGGGGCAGATTTAGTGAATTGGGGGCCCAGGCAAATTAAGGAATGGGGCCCTATGCATTTGCACACATTTACTTGCACAAATCATACCTTGAGGTTGCTTTTATGTTGTTGTGATGCATGCTGCTGCACAATGGTGCCCCATTGTTGTGTCCAATGTTTCTACATATTTCATGTACATGTTATAATGGCTTTCTTTCATGTTGTAGACCACAAAATAGCAATTGAGTTACAGTTAAGATACAGGTTTTCACAAAAACAAGATAAATTATAAAAAATAAACCTCTGAGCCTTTAAACCATTTTTTAAGAAAAGGGATGAGTCAGATGTATAAATTATTATATTTATTTAAAACGGGTTTATGTGGGTGGATCGACGTATTGGTCTGAACAAAAACTGCAGACTGGATTATTGAAAATGAACATTCGTTCTCTGCCAGTAGGAGGCGCTTTTGGAACTTCAGAAATATAGCGGTTTCCCCGGTAACGGCTGTAAACAAAGCATATCTGCCGCTCATAAACCCTACTTTATCAGATAAAATGAAAATGCCATCGAAACTTTTCTGAAGGCAGTTGGTTCCCTTCAGAGATTCATTCATATAAAAACTTGAATTAGTGAGATTGAGAAAAATGTGAATAAATATAGCACATATTGACGAGGAAATTCCACTGATGAGTTACCAGCGTTAGCCTGTGTGCCTGCACTCAGCTCAATTGCCTACACTCTCCGAAGGCTGTCTAATTCTAAACTTTAAAGGACATTTATTTATAGTTAAACTACAAATTTAAATGAAACTGAAACAAATTATGAAAAGGAAATTATACATTACACACCTAAGGATTATATCAACCAAAAAAGTAACTGTGTGTGCGTCCTCTACTTGGGTCTTTCTCAAAAATGACTAAGCGGTAGGGGTGTGACGAGATTTCAGACCAGTCAGATCTCGTGAGAACGTGACGATATCCTCGCTCAGACCTTTAGGGCCTTTCACACCGCGGGAACTTTTTCATGTACCTGAACTAATTGTGGAGCTACCCACTTTTTGACGTGTTCGCACCGCAGGAACTAGTAACGGTTTTAGTTCTAGGAACTCCGTTTGGAGTAACTAAATTAGCTCCTACTTCAGAGTAGGGTCTAAAACAGTTCTATAGGAACTATCAGTGACATAAGAGTACTCTGATTGGCCAAACGCATGCGAAACACCGGCCACCTGGCATTTTTAAAAAGCCATGTAAACGTATTTAGTCAAGTCAAGTCAAGTCAAGTCTGCTTTATTGTCAATTCTTCCACGTGTACAGCACATACACACAGAGAATTGAAATTGCGTTACTCTCAGACCCTTGGTGCATACAGATAACACTAACCTGTCGGGAGAGAGAGAAGCCGCAGCGTGTGAACGCGCCGCCATCAATTTTCAAATTTACTCCACGAACATGGAAAACAGTGATAACGGCATTTAGCTGTTGTCTGCAGTGTTGTGTTCTTTTCCCAGCTTCGATGATATGTAACACTGCAAGTTGTCATTAAAAAATTAGTCTCTTAGCCCAACTTTTTGCCCTTGCAATCGCATAAATTGTGCGTTTACATCTCCATCTCCATTATAAAAAGACATAGCTGTCGGCCGCTTCAGAGATCCTGCTGCCAGTGCGAATGCAACCAGGAAAATGGCCCGAGGGAGAAATTGGTTCTCTAGGAACTACCCTGCTGGCTAGTTCCTAGAACTAAGTTCCCAGAACTATGCGGTGCGAAAGCCCCTTTTCTTTCAGATATATTTGCATTACACTGGCTCGTTCACAAGTGGTGGTATGTAAGATATTTTATGTTCACATCAGGCAAGTGGCCGCATGATAAGCAGAAAAATTACGCAGTGTAGTCTTTATCCAGTCATAAAAACAGAATTCAAAGTTTAATGCGGAATGTCACAGAATCTGTCAAATTTTGAATGAATTAATCAAAAGTAGGTCATTACACTTAAATCAAATCACGATATGGACTAATATCTATAAATATTAAGCCGCAAAAGTCGATTAAAAAATATGAATCCTGCATGTTCTGCCTGTCTCTGTTAATGAATGGCGCAGACGCGCGGTTTCATTTACTACACACACACTGAAGCGCGCCTGGCGCCTGACATGATTTCATTCACCATCATTCTCACTAAATGAGGACGTAAACACATGAACAACATCTCCAATCTCCAGCTGAGAGTCACTTCATGAGCATTTTAGCGTTTGATTTGAGTAAAACTAGC